TAGAAAAAAAAAAGTACTAACATTAATTCAGCCTAATCCTACTAAAAATCTCTCTCAATTTTGTTAAAAAAAGTGTCATTAAGATCTCTCAACTAATTTAAGAGAAAAAGTTAAATATCATCTCTTAACTTTACAAATAGAGCGATTCTGCGTGGCTCTTTATTTTAAGTCAAGAGATATTTATGAACATAACTCTTTTTATGAAGTTTGGGGATTTTTGTTTCCTTTTTGGGCATTAAGACTATTCATCCATGCCATGTGATCCGAATGCCTCTTCTCCGAACATCATACAGTACTAACAAACTTCCCCATCCTTAATACCCCTTATAAAAAGAATCCAACCAATGCCCACACCCTTTTTCCTTAGCCCCTACCTTCCCTCACACGCCTTCATTTCTTCCTCCATCTCTTCCCGGGCGCCGGAAAACACACAATGTCTACAGATCTCGAATTAATCTGCTCCAAGAACAAGATAACGACAATCAATATTCAAACTCCGGAAGAAATTCATCATCATGATCAGGTACTACAGCAGGAGGAAAGTAGCAGCAGCAATGACGAGGAGAAATGCCGCACACCGACTTCTGTAGAGCACAAGATCCCTGCAGTTCTGTGCTGTCCACCTGCCCCGCAGAAACCTAGGAGAAGGGTTTCATGCAAAAGGAAGCTGTCAGAGCTGGAGTTGTTCGAGATCGTGAACCGAGATGAGATGGATGCATATTTCCGAACCGAGTTGGAATTGTTTCAAAGAGATCGAAGACACCCGCCATATACATATGATCATGAGTCTTCCTCTTTTCATTTCATGGGTATTCCTTCTCTCAACAAAGCTAAACGAGATGAATAAGTGGTTTACATTATACGCATGCAAAATTTGCAAATATTAATCTGCCATGATCCATATAGTGTGTTGTGTGGGATCGATATATACTATTTAAGTGGTAATCGTGAAGTGGTCATAATTATTATAATTTTTGTACTTTGGTGTAAGACAATTTGAATTGATATGTACCAAAAAAAAAAAAAGAAAATTTGTATTGATTAATCTGATGAGCTATTTATTGTTTAATTATTAAATCCCATTTTGATTATGAATTAGTGTGTGTGTGTGTATATTTATATTGAATGCAATTCTTTTCATTTTCATCATGGGTTAATTAATTTATTCTTAATTTTCAAATATACTATATATTAATTTACATAGTCTCCTACCATTTTAAGTTCTAATTATTTAATTTATATATAGTTTCTTTAATTTAGTTCATGTTTTTTTCGGTTATATATATATACAACATATATATTGTATTTTTTATTATATATTTTGTAATAATAAAAAGTAATAATATAGTTATAAATTATCCTAGCTATTATTAACCTACACTTAATCATATATTACATTATTATATTAAATTTTTTTATGAAAATATCATTATATAATAAAATATATATACTATATACATATGATATAATATATATATATGTTAGATATTAGTATAAGTAAAAGATTGTTTTATGGGTATGGGTACAAGGCTACAAGCCAATGTTAAAGATAAAAGAAATTAAGAAGTTTAGAAATAGAATGGTAGAGCAGAAGAAGCCGTTTCAAACGGCTTTAGCAGATTGCTTTTTGAATGTTAAAATTTCTGGTTTGGAATCAAAAAGCTAGAGCTGAATTGCATCTCTTTAACTTGGTGCAAAAGGCACTGGTTGGCGTCTTCATTTGTACTGGGGGCAAAAGGTACCAAATTGCTATACATATAAATAAATAAAATGCAGCCCTGCGATGCAGAGATTTTCGAAGCATTGATCTGTTTCTTTCGTCAATCTTTTCCTTTGCGTTTTCTTCCTTTCTTGAGTATATTATTGGCTTTGGGTATTAAAATTTAATATAATGGACATTAATTATATCTTGATGACAATAATGTTTCTTGTAAAAACAGAAATTATTACTTTTGAGATAAATTCCTAAAATTACTTTATTTACACCAATTTTTCTATATTCAAACTCGATCTCTGCATACACCAATTAACAGCAATATACCTAATATTGAGGCTGCACAGAAAAGATGAAGAAAACAGATAAAATATAGATAGATGAAGAGATGAATTGAGAGGATTCAATTTAACTACTATACTGGTATTACTTTATTGGTAATTAAATGGGTTTGAAGAGAGTAAATGAGAAGGCTCTGGCTCTGGGATTGGCCATATTGCTAAAAATAAAATAAGTAAACTTGATTTTTTTTTTAAAAGGACAATGATTAAAAGTGTTAGTGCGTTAGAAAGATTAATATGTAAGAAAAGTATTGAACTCAAGCACGAACTGACCTAAAGTACCGTTTATTACGCCACGCACATGGAATGCAGTAACTTAATTTATTTTGAGGATGGGAGATGATTTGGTTGAAAAAAGTGACTCATCTGATGTCATATCCCATCTGTCCATTAGGACGACGATGTACTGGTAGTTTAGTTTAGCCACATGCTTAATGTATATAGCTTCGCCCGCATACCATGTCTGCACGCAACCAGAACCTCATTAAAAAATTAAAATAAAAAAATAAAAAAACTTTTTTTTAACTAAATCGTTTTAATATCTAAAAATTATATTAAATTTTTATTAATTTAAAGTTGAATTAAGTTAAATTTTATATTTTAAAAAAAAATCTTATAACACTTATCTTTTAAAACCTTATTTTTAAAAAAAAATTGAGTTTTTTAAAATTTTTTTAAAATAATGAGTTCGTTGATTTAAAAAAAAAAAATGCTTCCTAGCTCGATAAAACAAGACTATTGGGTCATTTGAATTTTATGATCTGACTCTTTCCTTAGTGAAATTTGAGATTTATTTTATTTGACGATGTTGTA